TATAATGGTATTATCTGATGGTAATTGGTAACTATCGCCTACACATTGTACATGAACAACACTATGGATATCATGAGACGCCTGAAATGTCAAGATACCATTTCTAATGACTAAGATATTATACCTCTAATCCTGTCATTTCACTGCCTTAATCCGTACAATCGAAACACAGCTTACAAAGCTGCTTGGTGACTGAAGTAGATAACACTGAAGTTTTAAATTATACATTTTGTAAGAAGTATGTATGTTTCTTACAAATTGTATAATTTAAAAAAAGTACGAAAAACAGTGACCTACATTTTTTACGACTAAAAGCTTAAAACGATGATTAATACAATATAACAATTAGAATCTCAAATCGATTAACTTAATATCCTACTAGAATGATTAGTGTGTGAGTGTCCTCTTTATCTCAATAAAGGAAGCAGACGAAATCGCGAGCTACAACTAGTAAAGAACAAGCTACATCTGTGCTGTGTTATTGAAAATCTTAGTTGAAAATATTATTATAAATATTATATAAAACAAAGGAACAAAAACAATGACCTACATTTTTTATGGCTAAAATCTTAAAAGGATGACTAATTCAATATAACAATTGGTATCTCAAATCGATTAGCTTAATATCCTACTAGAATGTTTGTGTGTGTCCTCGCTTGAGAGTATTGGATGTATCAATGATTGTGAGGTTTATTCTACTTAGTTCTTTATATTTGCTCCAATTGCAGTATATAAATATAATAGTAATGCTTCTATGTAATATATGGAACTCAAAAATAATATGTTACAAAGTAGGGTACATTTAATGTTAGACATAGACACCTATATAAATACCTATATATTGTAATTAAACTACCTTTTAAAAAAAAGTAATACAATTGTTTCTTGGCAGTTCTTCTCAATTGGGCCTATATACCGAACTGCATGGTAGGGAAAAAAATATAAAATTATAATGTAAAAACTTGACGTTCATAAGCGGCTAAAATGTCCTATATGAATAAATGATTTATGTAACGATAACAGTCACATATACATATTGCGATAGTAAGGAAATTTGTATGGAATGTACATAGTTTTTTTAGTATGAAAAAATAAATAACACTTAGAATTCGATGTTTTTCGCTATCGTAATGTATATTAATTACACAATATGCAGAGTTAATATACAATGAAACAGAAATCAGACACTTTTATAGGAATTAAAAATATTTCTAAAAAACCTTTAATTTCCATGAATTCAACAAGAACATATATGCACTATAACAATAATAATACTAGAAAATGTGTGATGAAAGTGAAAACATTAGTATTTCAACGCATTTACGAACGGTAGTAGTGCTAAAAAAAATCATGCACAAATAGCCGAAGTGGCTCTATTTGAAAATATGATGTTTCAATTTGAACTTTATCATATAAAGTCATAAATCCCATTACTGAGTAATTCAAGCAATACAATAGATAAATCTATAAATAACGTTCCACTATTAATCTACTTTTAAACGCATTAAAAATTTACGAGATCGTTTAGAAAAATACCCCGAGGCGGTAATTTCAAAGTGGGCTGAATGTCAGTGGGTCAAAGTGCAGTGCAACAATATTGCAGAGTGGAATGTAAAATTATAAGATAGCACAATACATGTAAATTATGTAGGCAGATATATGAATTTGTAATGTTTGACTCATTGACAGTGTGCGTAGATGAATTTGATTGTAGTGTTGCGTGCAACGTGCCAATTCTAATTACCCTATTTTGTATCTAAGCTATAATATAGATATTATAGATAGATAGACAAATAGCTTTATTTTTCTCATATATTAAAAAGTTAACGATTACTGTTTTCCAAATTATTAGATAGATGTAAATTATGTAGGCAAATTTTTATAAGGCATGAATTTGTAATGTGTGACTCATTGAAGTCATTGAATCCTATTGTCTATCTAAACTGTATAGATAGATAAAATGACTTTTTTCAAATTTTTACAAACTTTACAAATACTGTTCTCCATATTATTAGATAGCACAATACATGTAAATTATGTAGGCAGATATATAAATTTGTAATGTTTGACTCATTGACACGGTGCGTAGATGAATTTGATTCCAGTAATGCCTACGACGTACCAATTCTAATTATCCTGTTGTCTATGTAAGCTCTAATATAGATAGATAGATAAAATAATTTTTCTCAAATTTTTACAAAATTTACAAATACTGTTCTCCAAATTATTAGATAGTTACAATACATGTAAATTATGTAGGCAGATATATAAATTTGTAATGTTTGACTCATTGACAGGGTGCGTGCGAAGGCAATTCTTCGCACGCACCCTGACTAGTATTAACTACAATCAAATTCAGATGAATTTGACTGTAGTAGTATTGCCTTCGACGTGAATGATAATTTAAATTATACTTTTGTCTGTCTGAAATATAATAGAATATTTTTCTTATGTCTGAACTTGAGTAAACTGATTTTGACGGGACTGTCACTCACAGATGGCTAATGTTGAAAGAAATAATTTGGTTACTTTTATTTTAGACATTTAATATCAATATTTATATTCTTATAAAAAAAAAGTTATATACAACGCGAACGAAGTCACAGATACGAACTAGTTTTGCATATAAAATGACTGTCCTGTGCGAGGAATCAAACTTGCGACCATCGGAAGTAAAGCTATGTGCTAAATGCTAAAGCACCGAGGCCGACGAAATATTGATGAAATATTTCAGCTTTCACTATATCACTTTTAGGAATTATGGCCTTGAGAACACTTATAAAATACATGCCATTAACTTCCACTCGTGGTCCAATCAACCTCGAAAAAGAAAATAAAAAAACAACATCAACCAAACTATGAAGATATATATCAAAATAAAAAAAAACTACAAGCATAACAAAGAAGAACAGTATATTTTCTTAGTATTAATTTGATTAATGTATTACATACATTAGACTAGACATTTGGTTATAGTTATTATAATTAGATATAGAATATTTACATCTATTTTCTTAACAGTTTCAAATAACTTCTATACAATTTCATAATGTCATACTCACAGTTCTCAATGGAATTGATTTATAAAATAAAAAGAAATTTTTTTTCTTCACTACATATAGTTAGGACCTTATAGATATAATAAACTGCCTTAGTATCTAAGGCAGTTTATTGATCCCTTAAGTATTTATCACTAGATATTGGACATTTGGTTATAGGTATTACAATTAGACATGGGACATTTATATCAAAGTTCGTAACAGTTACAAATAACGTACGTAAATTTATATAACGTTATATTATACTTCAGTTCGCAACTGATTTAATTTGTAAAATAAAAAAAATCATAATATATTTTTTACTAATGTAATAACGTCTTCATTTAGGTAGTAAGCTTCTTCAGTGATCCGTTATATACTTACAACTTGATATTATACATTTGGTTATAGTTATTATAATTAGACATGTGAAATTTATATTGATGTTAGGTACTCTATTTAAAAAAATATAAAACTTTAAACTTGATACGAAGTTATATACTTACTACTAACATTTTTATGTTTTTATGATTTTCAGTGAAAAAGTCAAATAACGTGAGAAACATTTATAATTTCATGATACACATTTCCATAAAAATATATAAGTCAATCATCGCTTTAGGGCAAGTTATCATTGCTTAATTATCGCACTATTTGATCTACAATAAATAACATTTTGTTGTTCACTAGCTGTGCCCACGATTACGTCTGCATGGAATTGTGACATTAAAAATGACGATATTTCCATACAATTTATATTACTTTGATTGTCATATTTATTTATATTTAATCAATAGCCTAAAAAACAAGTTCTATGCCTCTAGTTTAAAAAATGACGGTACATCCATCAATCTTCACTTTCAACTGGTAAGGTATAATATACACAAATTTCATTTAAATCTGTTCAGTAGGTTTGGCGTGAAAGCGAAACAGAGTTAGTTTAGCATTTATAATATTAGTAAGGTTTATCAAAATAAATATACAATATTATGACCTCTATAATTTTATTACATATTTTAGATACAAACATTACAGTTATTTACAGTTTGTAAGTATTACAACAAATAGATAATAAATATCTTAATAGCTTTGGATGTGTAAATTTCTCATACTAAAACCTAGAAAATACATCTACACTATTGTATGACTATATTTACTTTACTATTTATAAGGTAAAGTACTAATTTATTTTAGATTAGTTTATAATTGAGCCATAATATTCGTGGTAGAATGTGGAAAAGTTGGAAATTACTACAATAAAATTGTTAAAACTAAACTAAAATTACAGTTCCCTCAGTATATTCATTATGTAATACAGAACAGTCAACACTGAGCTTCCAAGCTATATCCGAGCTGTATTCATTTCCTGATGATACCTTGCCTAAAGGCGATACACGTATATGTATAGATGTAGATCCAATAACGATCGAAATTTGATCACTAATAGAGATGGTGCTTCCAGTAGCGGTGGTTAGGTTTTCGCACTGAATATATGTGATCTGTTAGACCACCACGTTCTAATAGTAGCAAAATAATATACATTAATGAACTGACTGTATTTGAAAAACAACTTTCTTTGTTTCTTTATTATTAGTTAAAAAAATTAAAATCTCTAATATCTCTATTCAGTTATTATCTTTTAGTTATGCTTTAATTGCAATGCTCTTTTAGTTATGCTTTAATTTAATTTATGCGCAATGTAAAAATGACCTAATATTTATATTTAACTATCTTCGCTCGGAGCGTTACAAATCTTTGAATATCTCGGCTGGTTCTATACTACAACACGCATGTATTATTCACATAATCCTTCCTCTTGAATCACTCTGTCTATTTCTGAGAACTGCATCAAAATCCGTTGCGTAAGTTAAAAGTTATAAGCGAACAGACTTTGTTTTATACTATTTAAAGTTTAAGTAACATTCATGGCTCAGTTATAATTATTATAGTTATATTAATTTATTATTTATGATATCCATTACTAGCAGGGATGTTTATTGTTGTCGGAATGTTTTGTTGGTATGCATTCTGCTTGTAATTTGCTTGAATTTGCTGAACACCATTATTCCACCCGCTTTGCTGGTATCCAATTTGGTGGTTGGTGCTAGGCTGGTAAATATTCTGGGCAACGCTTTGCTGGTAATTGTTTTGTAGATAGGCATTTTGCTGGTAACCATTTTGCTGGTAGCCTTGCTGTAAATGGTTTTGCTGTTGTACCTGGGGCTGATAACTGGCCTGCTGATAAGTAGTCTGCTGATAATTATTTTGTTGCACGGCTTGTTGATAATTTGGTTTGTAGGAACCTGAAATATGAAAAACGTGGTATGTAGTAGACATCCTATTTAAATATATTAACTTTAAAGTATATGAGATCTATTTATTTTAAAATCAATCTCAATCAATCTCAATCCACCCTCAGAATTTCAGCTAACTTTCACTAGCTTTCATAATACAATCTTCCTAACCATTATAGATATTTTGGATCGTCAGAAAATGTTTGACGAAGTTCGCCTCTAGCTCGGAGACTATAAGTGTCAAAATTGTTTACACAAATACAGGCTATTTTTTATTTCTATGATATTTAATGCAGATGCACTTTTTTTATTTCTATCTCTGATATTGTGTAGCATTTTTTTTCTTAAATTCATATAGATAAACTTACCATCATCGTAGATACCATTGACTTCATTATAGGCATTCTGTTCTACAGATTTGAGTATTGCGTCGGGTATAGGTGGAGGGGTCGGCAGGTGGGCACCCTCGGGTCTGAATCCATTTTCATCAGCAGTGTACCTCACACTGTACACCTGACCATCATTACCTCTATATGAATACGCTCCTCGAGCCTGGGTACCCTTGTTTATTTGTCCAGATTCTTCTGTTTGGATGCCTGAAGTAAAAAATAATAATTAATTATTAATAATAATCTTTCATCATCACATGAATCATCCGCATATAACTTTTAAACTTTGAAGACCTCGGTGGTGTAGCGGTCGCGGGTTCGATTCCTCGCACGACACAAATATTTGTATTCTTGAGTATGATTGTTTATATCGGTCTGGGTGTTTCTATGTATAATATGTATGTATTTAATAAAAAAAAATCATCTATGTATTTGTATCAGTTATCTAGTACCCAAACTTTAGCTAGCTTAACTTGGGTCTAGATGGCGCTGTGTGAATTATCCTGAGATTATTATAACTCATCCACGCTTGCCTAAGGCCCGCTTGTTTGGACGTATTACCCCCGTAAAAAGGGAGATATATGAAATATATATAAATAATAATAACACAAATGTGTAAACAAGTGACTTAATAAAAACCCGTTCTTGTCATCATTATAAAATAACCAAATGTATGTTGGGAAATTGTTTAAATATTATTTATATTATAATAATAAATATGAATAAATAATAGTTATTATATTTTAAGTTCCACAATAATAACATCTTCACATAGGATAACCTCTCCCACACTTGGCTAAGGCCCGTATGGGTGAGTATCACCTTTTTTTAAAGAAGATAAAAGATTACTAATAATCCTAAGAGGATTGTTAGTATCATTTATCTTTCCCCCAATGTGATATATTATAATATATTATTAATTAGCTGTATCCACCACTTCGTCCGCGTGGAAATTAACTTTATTTTTCTAAAATAAAAGTAGCCTAAGTTACTCCTTATAACATCAGCTACCTGCCAAAATAAGTCCCGTCAAAATAGGTCTAGCCATTTCAGAGATTACACAGAATAAACAAATAGACAGACAGACAGAGTTCCGTCAAAATCGGTTCAGCCATTTCAGAGATTAGCCGGAACAAACAAACAAACAGACAGACAGACAAAAATTGTAAAAAATGTTATTTTGGTATATGTACCGTATTTATATTCATATGTATGTAGTTAAAAATGGTTATTTCAATATTACAAACAGTATCTGTTTGTAATATTGAAATAACCATTTTTAATTATATCCAATTTTATTTATATGTAAAATAGAAAAATGGTACTAACCATTATCTGTCTCGAAAGAGTAATGGTAACTGTGACCGTTGTTCTCTGCATTATGGCTCAGTATCCTCGCACCCCCTTCTGGTGATTGAACCTGCTGACCCTGATACGCCGCCTGTGTGTACCCATCTTGCTGTTTACTGAACCCTCGCGGTTGATATGCCACTTGCTGGGTATACTGCGGTGTTTGGTACACTGCTGGTGATGTACCGTAGTTCTGTTGCGAGTAGATCTGAATTGCTCCAGTTAGGCCAAAAAGAGCCAAAGCAACAGTTGTACTTATCTGTAAAATAGATATTTTTATTTTTTACTGGCTGGAAATAACACACTTTAATGTCCTTTGAAAAAAAAACTATTTCAAACTAGTTCGAAATTTGAAACAGACTTTTGTTGACGGATATAGAAACTGTTTTTTATAAATATAATTTACACCGTAAAAAGAATACGCCGAAATAAGAGAAGTTTAATTGTGTTTAAAGAGTTGTTAATATAGATTTACATAGAATTAACACAAAACGTCACTATTTACAAAATAAAACTATGTATTTCATTTTTTTTAATATTAAACTATTCACTAACACATGAAACACTGGTTATGTATTAATTAAATGTAATTGACACGTACCAATTTCATTTTGACACCGTAATCCAACAGATGGTGAGATGAGAATGATAATAAAAAATTTCACCGTTACGTTTTTATACTCCAAATTTCTTATACGCACTGCTGCATCGGGTCCCAAAACTACATGCTTGTGATTACAATAACTGTGGAGTTAAGACACGAGAGCAGTCGTTTAATTTATTAGTTAGAGTAGCTGTTAATAGTCGTGACTTTGTATGCTAAAGCATATTTTTTAAGATAAGTTTGTCCGTCGTTGTGACTAATTTATCACGTAAAATTTATTAAAATCTGTTTAGTAGTATGTCTGTAACATAACATATACACAAATTCGCAGATATAATAATAATGATAGTTACCCAGGACAATTCACACAGCGCCATCGGTCCCAAACTAAGCAGAGCTTGTGTTAGTGGTGCTAGACAACTTATATTAATACATATTTTTTTTGTAAATACATATATAATATACGTAGAAAATATCCAGACGGATACAAACAATCATACTCATGAATACAAATGTTTGTGCCGTGCGAGGAATCGAACCCACGACCATCGCATGTAAAGCGCTGTGATAAACCGATAGACCACCGAGGCCGTATAATATAATCATATATAAAGATTTTTTTTATTTAAACTCTTTATTGCACCAGTCAAAGAAAACACACAAAATGATGTATTACATAAACTGATACAAAAGGTGGTCTTATCGCTAAACAATCTACTACTACTACTACGACTACCAGTAGAGAAAGTAACATTAAGATAAGAAAGGGGTAGGTGGTGCACCTAATGAACATAAATATATACATATACATTTATAATATATTTGTATAATAATGCACATATCTTCAGAAAATATGAAGGGAACTATGAGACAAAGAGGACAATATGAATATAAAGGGAAAGAAAGTGGAATTTGACAGAGACTTTGAAATTAGCAAGTGACTGAATGCTCCGAATGCGAGGGGGGAGTGCGTTCCATAACCTGACAGCCTGGACAGAAAAGGATTTAGAATAGAAGATGGTGGAATGAGAGGGATATCTGAGAAGGAGGTTGTTAACATTACGCGACGGATAGCTACTGTTCACACTGAGTAATGTGAATCTGTCTTTTAGATAATCAGGAGTGAGGGGGTTAAAAAGAATGCTGTAAGGGAGTGTAAGTTGCGACGAAGATGGATAGGGAGCCACTTGAGTTGAGTAAAAAACATATATAGTAATTGCGAATTACTTTTTGATTAACTTCACAGTTTTCGTGTACACTATACGCAGGTGTGATGCGATGAGAGTATAGTTAGGTAATATTAGATAACACGGCGCGCCTACTGTCTGAACAACTGGAGCGACATCTGCACTCTATTGTTAGCTATAGTTAAGGGATGAAGAGTTATATATTTTTAAATTGATAAACCTACTTACCTATTTATAGATAATATGTTAATAATAGTGTATAGATATATAATAATAATATTATTAGAATTCACATCATTATTGTAGAAAAAATCCGATATTTTAAAAATATATTAAAAGAAGGTAGTTTGTTTTTAGTATTAATGAAGTACCCAATGTAAAGATTATTACGAATATTGTAAATAGCGCCATCTAGTATTTATAGACGAACCTACTACACTGACTTTGGTCTATAAATACGGAGGTCGGTAGTTGAATAATCCTCTTTCGTTGCGTGAGCCGCAACATTCAGTCGCCGAGCGCAGAGCGTGCCAGTTGTGTTTTGGATACTAAAGTGAATTGTATTAGAAATGGGTTTATCCCGGTCTTAGTTGGGCCTGGGGGGAAACCTACTAGTAGTGAAGGTGAGTGTTAATGCATTCTAAAAGGGCCTTTTAAACCTACACCCGTGTCACAAGTCACTGGCGCTACTTGGGGTTTCCCTTGGCGGTAGCCGGCTTCAAATCCTCAGTCGTCCATCATAATTAGTGCTTCTTACAATAATAATAATATCTCAGGACAATTCACACAGCGCCATCTAATCCCAAGCTAAGCAGAGCTTGTGTTATACATTTTTTTTTGTAAATAAATATATAAATACATATTATTCATAGAAAACACCCAGACCGGTACAAACAATCATACTCATGAATACAAATATTTGTACCGTGCGTGGAATCGAACCCACGACCAACGGATAGAAAAGAGGTATGCTAAACCATTTGACCAGCGAGGTATTTCTATCCACTATTGTTAGAAATTATATATATATATATATATATATATATATATATATATATATATATATATATATATATATATATATATTTAATAATAATATAAACAATAATTTTATTTATTTATTTTTTACCTCTAATTTATTTATTTATTTATTAAAACTTTAATGCACATAATTGAAAGTACATATGGCGGACTTAACACCATGCGGCATTATCTACCAGTCAACCATGGGTGGTGCAGAGAATAATTGTTGGCGGTGCAAATATAAAAATTATATTAAACGATACACATAAAAATATATTTGAATAAATAACTACATATATATCTAATCAAAGCTATTCCGGTAGAGAATGACCGCCTTCTGTACTACTTTCTTAAAATTGTCTCAATTAAGATTATTCTTCTTGTACAACAATATGGTGCACTTTTTACATTCATTAATATACTTTATTGTGTATAAAGAATAATAAATAATGTTAAACCTCGATCTAGGTCCAAACTAAGCAGAGCTTGTATAAGGAGTAGTACTACACAGAAATACTTAAACGCACTTTTTTGTAAGTGAATATATTATACATAGAAAACACCTATATATTATATACACTACATACACACCAATACCAGCAATCATACTCATGAGAACAAATATTTGTAACATGCGAGGAATCGAACCTGCGACCATCGGAAGTAACGGGGTGTATTAAACCGCTAAGCCACTAAAACCGTCAAATTTATAATACTAGTATGGATTAATATTGACTGGAAAGGTATATAAATATAAATAACTGTTTTTCAATTTAATACATTTATTCAGTAAGCTGTAGCGAGTTTATTATATTATATCAAATATTGGAAACATATGTATATTATAGTATAATAAATATCAAAGAGAAGTGATAAGAAATCATATTAAATTACTACTAGAAACTAGAAAAATGTAGAATTTAAAAGCAATAATAAAAGTGCAATAGATTCATAGTGATAGATTGATAAAAAGACGATCCTATATTTGATAATGTAATAAACCTACCACTACATGTACATGGCACTTATGTGTTTATAATTTTGTCCTCCATATAAAGTTTATAATACAATAGTTTGTTTTTTATCCACTATGGGCTCCTTTCAGGCACCATTATTTTTGTTATACAAATTGTGATTTTTAAATTTAGAACATCCTTGTTTTCATTTGATTTCTAAATTTGAAAATAGAATTGAAATCAAAACTGTAATGATGTGTTATGCTCAAACACCATTCGTTCGTTATTCAAATTTATTTTCAGATTTAGAACGTTCTCATTCATTTGATACGCTTTTTTAATTTGAATTTGTATTTGGATGTAGAATAAGAAAAACAAACTATGATTTAACATTTCCCGCCAAATTGATATGAGCATAACCAATCATAGAACGCCTTTATATTTTAACATACAATATTAGCATAGAGCATAAAGGGATGACTATGTTACACTAAAACTAAATCAAAGAATGTCGTGTATTGTCAAATACATACAATTGCATACATTTTGCATCCTTATATTAGTATGTACATTCGTATTGATGGAAAATTATAAAAACGGCTATTGATAATGAAGCACACTTAGTAAATTATTATGCGCAAGTCACGTGATAGGTTTTTAAATTATGCTCAAATCATTCGCCCTTATTTATATAAATGTAAATTACATATATAGCTTAGTATCGGTAACCAGATGATCGGAAGCCAGGAGCTAGATATTGCCTGTTCGGTTGGAACTGAGCTCTAGCCACTACTACGTTAGAATCGCCATATTTCCCGTCGTGGTAGCTGCCTGTAATTGAAGGGAAAAAATACTCTTAGTATATAATATATATACAAATTAAATTGTATACGGATTTTTAATATTTTTTTTTTATTGTGAATATATAATTGAAAGGTATTCCAGCCAGTGGTAAACTTATATTGTAAATACGCTCGCAGGCCATCAGTGAAGAATAATAAGAAGATGAAGTCGCTAGCTATCATTATATTATGTTATACAATACGCTACAAGAAATTAAGTATGATGGGACATTGCTACAAATTTATGGCCACTTCTCCCCATTAGTAACAACTCCTCTATTTTCCAAACTATATAATTTCTTCCACTTTCACCCAGTTACTTACAAATTTATGAGTTTTTATGTATTAATATAATATGATCTGTCATAATATACGTTTAAAACAGTGAAACAGTTATTTAAAAAAATCAATCAAGTGAAATATTGTTGCAGAATTAAATCTTAAGATATGATTAATGCAATCTAAACGTGACTCGAAACCATCAAGCTAAAAAATAAATTTAAATATAACAACCATGTTTTATCTCCAATGACATTTTTTACTAAGTCTTATATCTCTCGAGTGCTCTTAAAATCCACTAAAAAGAATATCGATCACTGACACACTGGCCACATATAGAAAAACATTCTATTTTTAAAAATAATTTGAATTATTCCAAAGATCAAATAGCGGTCACCCAGACTTGTTAACTGGGATCAAAATATTTTTTCAATGAATCTGTGATACCATTTTTTTTAATACAGATTATTAGCGTACATTTATTTTGGAGGTTTTACACTGATATGTACTCAATATTAAAATATACTTTCGTGTGTTCCTGTGCAAGTATATAGAACTAGTACAGACTGTTTTATATATTCAATTTTTATAAGGGCAGTGCCAATTTGATAAAAGTATATAATAAAATTGTCTATGATGTAACTGTTAGTAGAATCAATTAAAGAAATTAATAATCGTATTCGAATGTTTTATTTACAAGTTAACAGCGTTAGGACATAACAAGGAGAACAAAGGACGGAAGCTGTTGATGGCCAATTCTTGCTTGTTGGATATGACTTTAGTTTGAGGGTTTGGGGTTCGCCCAAGCGATGCCAATCAGCCAATCTTGGCTAAGGTCGATGGTATTTCGATCCGTGTATGTTTTCTATAGAGAATCATTCAGAGGGAGTCATTTTTCACTATAATGTATAGACGTGGGCATAGACTCCGCTGAGGAAACGAGTTCATGTCGAGTTTCTAATACTTCTCGAGGATAAACAGAATTTTGCATCATTCAGAGGGAGTCATTTATACTACACTATAATGTATAGACGCGGGCATGGACTCCCCTGAGGAGCGGAGTCCATGTCGAGTTTCTAATACTTCTCGAGGATAAAGAGACTTTTGCATCTCGGGCATGGACTCCCCTGAGGAGCGGAGTCCATGTCGAGTTTCTAATACTTCTCGAGGATAAAGAGACTTTTGAATTTATAATATTATTATCAATTAGACTGGAAGTAATTGGTTTCAATCAGAATCAAGTTGACGAGCTATTTATTATATCTACCTAATGACGAGCGTATATGGCAATAGTTGTTGATGCACGGGATTTCCATTTAATGCTAGACGTAGACACCTATATAAATATACATTGTCACTATAATGCATAGGCGCGGGGATGGAGTCTGTTGAGAAAGCAGAGGCTTTTAAAAAAAAGTAATTCAATTGAGTTTCTTGAAAGTTCTTCTTAATTAGATCTATATACTGAACTGGATGGTAGGAAAAAAATATAATAGTAAAAATTTGACATTCATAAGTGGCTAAAATTTCCTACATAATTTATTTATTTTTGAATTTGAAGTTTTAGTTTTGGAAGTAGTATTTTAGATTTTTGAGTTATATAAAAAACTGTATTTTACCATCATCAAAGATTCCATTAGCTTCATCACGTTGATTCTCCTGTAGTGCCTTCGCTATAGCTTCAGGTAAGGGTGGGGGCGTCGGAAGATGAGCACCTTCAGCTTGGAAACCGTTGGCTCCAGCTGTGTACCTCACACTGTAGACCTGGCCATCATCACCGGTGTAGGAGTAACTGCCCTGAGCTTCAATGCCGTTGGATTCATGCCCCGTCTCTTCAGCTTGGATTCCTGGAAAATGTTATTGCGAAGACTGTTACTAGGCGGTTTTTTATTGAATGATAGTGCATCTGCTGGTGCCCCACCAGTGTATGTTGATAAGATGAGAATAAAGTTAGGCCAGTCAGCCAATCATAGCGAATTCATACGGAATAACAACGATAGATTTCCAGGGGGAAACGCGTGGTGGTCAACCTATCATAGTGCATGACTAAAATGGGACTAGATAATTGTTAGAAATAATTCAATAATTTTTTTTTGTAAATTGATATATAATATACACAGAAAACATTAAGGCCGATACAAACAAGCATGAATACAAATGTTTGCACCGTACAGGTATCGGACCCACGACCACCGAAAGTAAATTGAAGTGCTAAACCTCTAAACCACCGAGATCATCAGTAAATAGATCTAGCTTTATAATAACAATATAACTGATTGCTGTCTGTCTATAAAATAAGCCTTATTTTCGGATACTCTAATGCTGTTAACCGCAGCTGGCCTTTACAGCTTCACCGGACGATAGGGGGCGAGTGGATGGTACTCCAAACCAAATTTTCCAAAATGAATTTTCTAGTAGTCCGTAGAGTGGTGTTTTTCCCATGGGAATGAAATTTACAGCTAATGTATTCAGGATAATTAGGATGGTATGGAATCATAGTTATTCCTCTATAGTTAATATTAGTTTATGACTAATTATTATAGGTCTGAGACCATATATGATATATTCAATAGAACTATAAAAACATCAGTATGAAGTTGGAATCTAGTTAATAACATTAATTATAACCATTACATTGAAATTCGATGACTTAGATAATAGTCGATATATATTTATGTATCATATAATTATACGCCATGATCTAAATAACTGCTACTACGCTCAACAATTTGCCATTGGCCCTATGTAATCCTTACTTAATTACAAATGCAAAAGTAACTCTGTCTATCTGTCGCGCTTTCACGCCTAAACTACTGAACCGATTTAAATGAATTTTGATACACAGATAGTCTAGACCCTGAGAAAGGATATAGGTTTGTTTTTAATGCAGAAAAAGGGTTGCAAAGGGTTTAAAGGGTAGATGAAAGGTTGTATGGAGGTATCGTCATTTTTTAAAGCGAGAAGTTCGAACCTTATTTTTATGCTTGTTGAATATAAACAAATATGACATTCAAAGTTTGCAAAAGAATACCATTAAGAGGGTAAAATAAAATAGGGGATGAAAATTTTGAAAAGAAATTCGTCTTTTTGAAGCTAGAATGATGTTATGCATATCTTATTTGTAAAATAATAATCCGAACTAATTAAAAATACTATTCAAGTTCTCTCTATACTACGCGGACGAAGTCGCAGGCACAGTTAGTATAATCTTATTAATATAATAACCTCGAAAGTCTGTGAGTATGAATGAATGTTTGTTACTCTTACACGCAAAAACTACCCTACGGATTTTGATGAAACTTTACAGTAATATAGCTTATACATCAGAATCGTGAAATTTATAACTATACATAAATTTCACGATTTTGATGACTATATATGTTATATCGTGAAATATCTATATATTAGGCTATAAATTGCACGCGGATGAATCGCTGGCACTAACTTATTATTTATAACAGATATTTAAATATATTAGTTAATTATTATTATAAAAAAAAAAACACTTAATAAATGTGCTACATACCATTTTCAGTTTCATAAGCATAATGGAATCCACGATCGTTGACATCTGACACTGATCTTAGAATTGCTGCACTCCTCTCTAGACCTGATCGGGGTCTGACAGACTCCTGGTAGTATGTGGGGGATGTTCGGTACTGTGGGGGGAGGTAAGAGGGGAGAAGACCGGCGGCACACGCCCCGATAACAGAAGCTAAGACGATCTGAAAAAATCATATATATTGGTTAGGTTATAAGAAAGACCGAAAAAGATATGGATGGACTGTGTGAAAGATATGGTAAGAAAGGAAGTAAATAACGAGATGACTACGAACAGGGATGAATGGTCCCTCCGATCGATCCCCCGTCCAATTCAACGGGGATCGATGTTACGACGGCCTGAGCCGAAGTTCGAATCCCTAGTGGTGCCCTCAGACTAAAGTCGTATCCGTCAGGCGGGAGTTGGCCTTCAGCCGCTCCATAAGTCCTTCCGCGGGTTTAGAGTGCCATCTGCACTCGCCCCCTATCGTCCGGTGAAGCTATAAAGGCCATATGCGACATACATCATTAGAGCAGTCCGAAAAAAAAAAACAAAAAGGGATGAATGGAAGAGAAAAAGATATATGTATATACATATATACGCCGACCACAAATAAATGGGATAAGGAAGAAGCAGATGATGATTCAGTAATATATTTGCATAAAAATAAACACTTTACTATCCAACCGACTTCAAAAAGGATTAATTTTAATTAGTTGTATATTTTTTCATATAATAATCAAATTAATAGTGATAACAATTAAAACGTTAGTAAGTTAATTTTTGTTCTCTACAATTCCAAGAACTATCTGTATGCAAAATTTTACGATGATCGGTTAAGTAGTAAAAGTGTGAACGTAATAAATAAGTGTATAATTTTGTATTCATAACGTTAATTAGGATAACGATTAGTATTATAAATAAATATATATACAAAAACACATATGCAAACAAAATTTTTAGTCACAAATTTCAAAATTTATAAATTTATGAGGTCGTTATAAAATAAATAAATACATTATTACAATATAGACAATCTGCTGGTCATAGGGACCGTTAAGACAGTACTTGATTTGAACTAAAGGCGAGGTCTCATCTCATAATTTAATTTTAGAAACTCATATCGGTTTATTGTAATTGTCGTGTTAGTCTGCAGTTATTTGTATTGTCTGTCCTAGATATATATTTATAAGCAGTCCTGTCAAAGAGGCCGTAAAACAATTTCTTCAAAAAAAGTATTAATAAAGTAAATAAAAAGTTATATTTATCCACGCAATACAATTCGAAATTCAAAAATTGTTATAAATTACGTTATTCATATTTTATAACAATGTTTGAATTTCGAATTGTATTGCGTAATTATCTTCGAAGAACATAATAGATAATGTCAACCAAATTCAATAAAGAATCGAATTTCAAAATCCAAAATGTTGTCAACTGTAAACACGATAACAATTATATCACTAAAAAAACGTCGATGACAAAACGGTATTATTTAACAATAAAATTCGTGATACCAATCAATAAACGAAGCTATTTTCAAATTGCGTAACGCACCAATTTCATGTTGCACTCGCTTCGGGGATCGATCGAGGAATGTTGGTTCGGGTAGCCTGTTCTGTTTATATAGGTGCTTCAATTCATTCCTCAATGTCAAGGTTACGCAGTAGGATGTCAGGTTGCATTGAGAACTACCACGTATTATTGGAACTTGAGCTTTTAATTGATCGCGGCCGAAATAGGAAATGTTACTATTGTGTAAGGATGAACGAATTCTCATGAGTACATTAGATATCTATCTGTACATGTAGTTTGGTATTTCAATTCAATGATAGTAAATTATTCATAAAAGGTTCTTAATGGACTTAAAAAAGTTTTTAAGGAATCATACAAAATTTGTTATGCAAACAAACTGATGTTAAGCTATGTTAGGTTACAAAATCATGAAAAGCACCAGGAATATCACGTTATCATGTAATGCCCGTGATACCTCTCATGAGTTACCATTGCCGAAGACTATGACGATTTCATTTCTTGCCTCTTAACGTGTAATTTCAATAACAGTAGCGTTTCATGAATAGTAGAAACATTAGTACATATTTTTATTTATAAAAATATGTTATAAATATTTTTTTTTTATATAGGTTTAACAAGGTATTTATTTGTTGCATAACATAATAACATAAACTCCTCATAAAAGTGTAAAAAGGCTCGTCTTATATCAAACAGCTTAGACTACAGAAATATACATGCCTAGATTATGTTTAGCATGTTCCTTCGTTATCTAATATTCTACTAAGCAAATCTTGTGCATAGTAAAGCAAATATTTTGAATTTTTTCGACCAGCAATAGTACGTATCATAAAGATGTAATACCTAAAGGATCGACTCCATCATAAACTTATAGTTGGGAATTACTCAAAAATCTATAAGAAACTAAAGGAAGAATGTAGGAGAACAAGAAGTGTGACTGATCGTGTGACAAGCGTATATTTATATAGTATAATGAATCCAAATTTAAATCTTTCCAACCGATTACAGACGGCCTGACTATGACTTATTTGCAATCCTAGATTGAGAGTAACACATAACAACTAGTGTTCATGTGTTATCTACATTTAGTATTTAGATATATCGTTAAATATATGTCGTTTTAAATCCAAATTTTAATCTTTCCAGCTGACCAGGCACGGTCTAACTACAACATTACTTCTATCCTGCTTAGACATGAACAGGAGTCCCATGCTCACATTATCCTAAAATATATTCATTGTCATATTTTGTTTAAGTTTATTGTCTACATAGTGACTTTTATCACGTCACATTCAATAGACATAACACCAATCGTGGATATTATATTCCCGTTGTAATATTATACATTATAGGTAACCTAGTTTTTAAGATATAATTAAAGATATGTTAAGATAGATGAATTTAAGATATGTTATTCTACTAATATTATAAACGCGGGACTTAGTGAGTATGTATGGGTATGGATATTCATTACTTTTACAGGCAAAATCTACTGAACGGACTTTCATAAAACTTTCCAGTAATATAACTTGTACATGAGAATAACACATAGGTGACACAACCAAAGTTGACATATAAAAAAGGTATCAATTGTAATAAGTCTTTTGGAATGTTAAAGTATTATATTATAAACAGACACACAGAAACACATCTTTATATATGTATACGTATATATGAACAACTATTATGTATTGTATTGTAACGTAATTTACTCATTATATTGAACCTCTCCTGTTCTCTAACTTTGGTTCTAACCTGTTTAACTGTTTCTCTGTTTTAAATAATCAACTTGTTTTCTTTATATTTTGTACTAACTGTCCTCGTGGTTTTTATCGCGTCAATTTTTTACCCTATATATTATTCTGATGTATAAGCTATGTTACTGTAAAGTTTTATCAAAATCCATTATCCACAAACACTATTGTGTTTGTATGAAAGTAAAAATCCATCCATATACACATCATTTTGTTGTTCGTTGAATAAACTGCTTAGATTAAATTTAAAATTACTTGATGACGTCACTCTGTTCACACTAATTAAGTAATACTAACTAATATATACTATATATAAAATTCTCGTGTCACAGTTTTCGTTCCCATACTCCTCCGAAACGGCTTGACCGATTCTCATGAAATTTTATGAGCGTATTGAGTAGGTCTGAGAATCAGCCAACATCTATTTTTCATGCCCCTAAATGTTAGGGGTAGTCCATAAAGCAAAACAGATAAACAAAATCCATATTTTAAGGCAAAACAACGTTTGCCGGAACAGCTAGTATACTATATAAGCTATTGATTACCTAAATAAATAATAAAAAAAAAGAAATGAATATAATTGAAAAAAAAAAAACCTTTTTACGTGGAGTGGACCACGTTAAAAATTGTCCTTACACCCAATGAGTATGTAGGTTCGAAGTTCGTTGTTTACGTATACATTAGACCACAGCTTAATTATTTTGTGTGGCATCAGTAGGCATTGTTACGCCCACGCGTGTGTCAAGGATCCCGCTGGTGAATCACGGAGAAACATTAGGTTGTGTCTAATACGAGTCATCTGTGTGCACTCACCGAATAATTGATATAGTAAATAAACTATTGCAACTTAAAAAACCCAAGAATACTATTATGAAAGATCAGTCAATATACTTTTGCCACAGACAAACTGTACAGCATTGTTCTATGTCAGACACGAAACAGCTAGCTTTGTAACCTATATTTCTGTCCCTGAAATACGGCGATGAAATTACAGACTAAGAAGATACAACATTTATTAGAAAAGAATACGAGCTGAGTTTCTTGTCAGTTCTTCGTTTACATATCACACACATATATATATACATACATATTACACGCATATCATCATTGACATATCATAAGAGTCCGTAATAGACCCGCAAAAGAATGCGAGCCGAGTTTCTTATCTAGTCTTCTTAACTCGAAATCATTCCGTACTGACGGTAGATTTGACATATCATAAGAGTCTGTAATAGACATGAATAAAGATATTATGAATTTTGAATGTTTTTTTGAATTGAATAAGGTACCTTTCATAGACCTACAAAAAATCCAAAACTGTTAACTTCATTATTGCCTGTATATCATTTATTCATTATTTAGTTAATGTTCACATCTTTCTAAGGGGGAGTCTGTTTAAAACCTTTTCTGTGTATAAAAAACAACTAAAACATAATAAAATAATTGAAATATACTCTTACATGTCAACAGACAACGATCTTTGATTTTAATACATTATAATATTAATAATATTATAAACGCGAAAGTTTGGAAGTTAGATTTGTTACTCTTTCACGCAAAAAGTGTTGAACAGATTTAGATGTAACTTTACTGTAATAAAGATTATGTATCAAATTAATATGTAGACTATATTTTACATTGAAATTTAACACGGATGATTTATGTTATTATGTTATACATACTGTTACTGTCTGTTACAACACTAAGGTTCTATATACAAAAATATATTCAAATTCAAATTTAAGTTAAAAAATCATTTATTTATGTAGGACATTTTAGCCACTTATGAACGTCAAGTTTTTACATTATAATTTTTTTTTCCTACCGTCCAGTTTAGTATATAGATCCAGTTGAGAAGAACTAGCAAGAAACTCAATTGAGTTACTTTTTTTTTTAAATCCAGTTTATTTACAATGCATAGGTATTTATATAGGTGTCTATGTCTAACATTAAATGAAAATCCCGAACATGAAAACTGTTGCCATGCACGCTCGTCATTCAAGTAATCGTTTAGTGAGTAATAGGCCTTGCTCATTAATATGATTTAACAGATGTTTTGAATTTATTTAAGGGTAATTCCAATATATCCTTTGGTATCTTATTGTAAAATTTTATACCTATTCCCATAAAAGACCTATTGACTTTTTCTAAACGATACTTGGGGACAGCAAGTTTGTCTTTAAATCCAGTACTAATATTATGATAATTGCTGTTTTTTGGAAATATAAAACAATTCTTAATATTAAAAAATACAAATTAAATATAACATATAAAACTACATGCCCAGTACGTCAGCAACACATCATTCCATTGGTTATAAGATTCATCTATATTTTTATTCATAACATAGTCACGCTTACATAACTGATTAAATCTAGATAAAACTTTGGCATTCAATCGCATGCAGATGTCAAATATCTTATTATTACAGCAAGGTTGAGATAGATTCTCATTCATTCAATCTCGATCTGCTATTCTAAATCTATACTCACGTACGTTACAATGTCTATAGAAAAATAATAAAACTATTTAACTAGGCAACACGGCACCTTATTAATGAAATAATTAAGAATCAAATTTGATATTCACTCTCTGATAAAATTTGTGTGTTTAGGATTTATATCTATTTGGCGGTAACCTGAGGTTTTCTCATTTTTTTTTTTAATAATAATATCTATCCCCGGATATTAAATTCCAGGCTTGTTTCCTTAATTACTTATACACTACACTACTCATTTATTACGGAATACAAGAGTACTTTAAAACTAGGGATTATAAAATGTTTTGTTTCATTTTATTTTTGGTAACCTGAGGTTGAAAGTTCCGTCTGGCTGACCTATCTAGGATAATAGTTATGAAGGTATACTATAAAAAAACATTACAGAAAATAGCCATCGCATTGCTCTCTGTCGATAGAGAATTCATCACTACACGCTGGAACCTAAGTGGTCTCGGAGAGTGCGGTTTCAGAGGAGCATCCTCCCGCGTACACTTAGATTGTGGAATGAACTACCTGCCGAGATTTTCACTCGAGACTACAGCATGGGGTTTTTCAAGAAGAATATATTAAGGTTTCTTTAGGGTTGGCAACGCGTACCAGGGGTGTCACCCTGGTGTTTTAGGCGTCCATAGGCTACGGTAACCCTTTACCATTAGATGGGCCGTATGCTTGTTTACCACCTACGTGGTATAAAAAAAGTTACATAGTACTAATTTAGGTGTTTCCCTACTTTTCATTAATTTTATTTATTCTGTACATCATATAACTCTACTAGAAATATATGATGTGGTCCATTTGAAGTTACAGTG